GGGTCCAGACTGAGTCAGTAGGACGGGAGCTAAGTTGGTGCTGGCTCGTAGCGGTAACACAGCCATCCATGTCTTGCAGGGTGGCTTGGAGATCACTATCGTAAGGGTCGTCGTTCCAGTCACACGCAAACACCCAGGGTCTATGCCTAGTGACAGAGATGGAAGCAGAAAGCTCCAGAAGCAAGTCACTATCATCCATAGCTGGGCGGCGGTAGCCACAGTGAATGACCCAAGGCTCCTTCATGCCGAAAACCTGAACAGAAAGGAGCTGACCAGCTTCGTGCACAGCCTGGTGGAGGGTAACAGTGGTGTAAGGCTCTCTGGAAAGGATAGCTACACCTCCTCTGCCACCTCCGTTGAGGGCGTTGGCCGGAACAGCCGAAATGCTCCAACCCTGAAGTCTCAACCGGTGACTGAGGCCTGGGAGCTGGTTGAGGGTGACTCCCGTCTCCTGAAGCGCGACAAACTGTGCCTTCTGCTGAAGGGCCACACTCAGCACTTCCTCAAGATGTCTGTGCATAGAACCGATGTTGTAGGAGAGAATGCGAGCAGACCTCGGGGGACATCGATTATTGCAGCTGGTGATGCTACTGTTGTCATCGGTAGCGTGGTTGGGGCCAGGGTTGGTGGCTTCACCAATTCTGAACCCACGCAGGCCAATGTGCAACGGAAGCGTCCCAGCGCACCCTAGTCAAGAGCGGGCGGCCCCTTGTTTGCCATTGGGCGCGATGTTCCCAATGTCATGACCCCACCGACCGGCTCTAGCTCTACGACAGACCTCCTTCCTGGAGAGCCCTTTGTTACGTTTTCTGCGGTCCTTGACGACAGCCTCCTTGCTCTCTTTAGCACAAACTTGCCACACCTTGCGAGCAGTGACGGGATCAAGGGGTCTAGCCGCCCGGGGGCAGGGAGACACAGGGATTTCAGACCGCGGGACCTCTTGATCACACGCCACGCATTTGTGGAGGGGTCGCCATCCCGTAGTGGTTTTCCTTTTGTAGGACCGCCACGCGTCTGGGCCTGAACTAGCGAACTGGTGCGCCCCTGCCCACCAACCACGTCGGACTAAGGCATTGTACTGGGTTTCCCAGCGTCGGTCATACGACTTCATTTGCTCATCAAGACGTTGGGGACGCGACGACAACTCATAAGAGCGGGGGGGAAAGTTGACGGCTGCACCATACCACGTAGTAGAGTCGTAAGAAAGAGCAACAGCAGAAGGTCCGCCAGAGCCTCAAAAGCCTGCAGCCAGTAGAAGTCAGGCAGACTCACCCACTCCGCAGGCGCCAAGCGCCCAAGGCGCAAGCACAGGAAAGGTTAACCGCCCCCCCCCCCCATCAACCCACGGAGGCCGGGCACCTCTGCCACGAACATCAGCCCGCCTAACGGCCGCCATAACCGCCAGGCGAGTCAAGACAACCCCGGCACCTTCAACCCGGCCACTCCAGCCGAGCTTCTGGGCCAAGGCGGAAGCAGGTATCCCTACAGAACGAAGATCATCATGAGCAGGACACTCCCATATAACATGCCTGGTATGAGGAGAGATAGCCTGGTTACAAGAGTAACAAAAGCCCCTCACCCCGCCCAACGGAGTCCACACAGCGTCGGGAGAGAAGCCACCACACATCACGGAGACCCCATGACCAGACGTTTGCGCAGCCCACGAGCGCAAACGCTTCATCAAAGCCTTGTCAACCCGAAAGCCCTCGGCCCGAGCCGCTCGCGAATCATTTCTATCAGCGGCAAGCCAAGAATGCATCAGAGCGCATCTCCAGCTATCCCTGAGTTCATGAGCCGCTCTATCCTGAGCAGGAGCAGGAGACATGATATCCCACATGACCGCCCCTCATGAGCATTGACCCACCCCAGGACCCACCTGCCACCCTTCCGGCAACCCCAAAGACAGAGCCTTAAAGAGCCTAGAAGAAGAGAGAGTCTCGAGAGGAGGTCTTTGACCAAGCTTGTCCACATGATAGCGAGCCCATCTAGCCATCGCTTTCATGAGTCTCTGAGCGGAGAGAACCGCCAGGTCAGCCGTATGGCCCAACAACAAAAGCTTCTGCAAGTCCCTGCAGCTTCTGTCCCCTTTAGCTTCAGCACCCTTAACAGCCTTGCGGAAGACTTCCCGAAAGAGGCTGAAGTCCTGTTTTGTAGGCCTCCTGCAGTTGAGGAAGCTACCCCAGCTGGCCTTTGGGCTGTAAATAACAGCAGCCAAAGTGGCCCTGAACTTCAAAGTGACAGGCAAGAGACCAATGCGCAGTGCAACATACTCAGCTTGCTTTCTACGTCTGAGCTCCTTCTCCGTGAGCGGTCGGTGAGAGCGGCCAAGCATCGCGCCCAGCACGTCAGGCGTATCCGTGCTGTCAGCCGTTCTACAAAAGAATTGAGTTTTGCCCTTGTGAGTGCGCATACGAGAGACTCCCTCAAACTCCTTCGAAACCTGAAAGGCCCTCCTGAGGGAAGGCTCGTCTGCCGCAAGAAGCGTTCGGTCATCCCAAGTACAGCAGATTTTTGACCTTAGAGGTCGCAGCATTTGCCGCTTGAAGGGGGCATGCCAACACTGCTGCCAAAGCAACAGGGGACCAGGGGTCTCCCTGGGGTAGCCCTGCGCTGCCCACGATAGCATCGGGGCATACAGCGCCTGCAAAGGACACCCATCTAACCGGATTGGACCATTGATGCTGGAGAAGGTTGAGGATGGCATCCGGGATCTTCAGGCCTTTGAGGGCGATCAAGGCTAACGGAAAGTCGCAGCTATCGAAGGCCTTCTTATAATCCAAAGCCGCACCATACGGGAACCTATCAGGCCCAAAGTCAACCTCAGCAGCTACAAGGAAGACCTCGGGGTCCAGGCTTTTAACGCCCCCGGCTTGCCAGGGTTGCACGACCTGGGCCAGGTGATCAGCAAGGTTACGGAGTCGCACCCTGCCCCAGGCCCGGTAAACAGCGCTACTGATGGCAATTGGGCGAACCTGGTCAAGAGTGGGGCAAGGGCAATCCTCTTTGGGGATGAAAGCAAGTCTCCAGTGAGTGAGGCTCGCGGGCCAGCAGCCTGAGGATTCACACTCATTGAGAAGGAGAACCAGAAGGTCAAGAGCAGCATCTGGCAAGGCAGAAGGGCGTCAGGGGAGAACCCATCCAGACCCGCCGCCTTACCCCTCATCCTATTCAAGGAGGCCCGGAGTCCAGCGCGAGAAACAGGAGAGAGGAGGGGAGAGGAGCCCGAGCAGTTGATACACCGAGCATACTTCAAATTGAGCCCTTGGACGTGCTTGTCCGCCGGTTGGTTGGCCCCGAAGATGTCAGACCATCGTTTTTGCAAGGCTTCGGCTGCAGCAGGCCTGCTACAGTAATGCTGGTTATTATCATCTTTGATCGTTTGGGCTTGTGGCCCCGTGCTCTTAACCCAAGTGGCAGCACCACGTACAGTATGAACCCTGTGTTTCCAATTAGCAAGGGCCCGGGCCTGCGAGGCAGCCAAGAGGCTTTTCAGCCTTTCAGTAGCTAAGGCCAACGCGTAGCCCCATCTCCCATGCAGGACAGCATCAGCCTCCTCTCGAGGAAGAGGACTAGAGCTAAGCTTCGAAACCAGACTAGGGTCAACGCAGCCTTTCCAGGCCTGAGTCCTGGCTTCCGCTAGCCTTCTGAGCACGCGGCGCAAGCAGCGCTCCTCATGTGACTGTCCCACACCCGCAGCGTGAGTGGCCTTACGGAGGGAGGGGAGGCTACCAAGCTTTCGTTCCCCGGCAGTTGCTGACAGGAGACCAGCCTGCACAAGCCAATCCTCAGCGTGTTTGCTCCAAACAGCCCACTTGTCGTCAAGCTTATGATGGGAACTCAGCTTATCAGCAGTCAAGTGCCGTGTGGGAGTCTGGGGCGAGAGGGTAGCGGGAGAGCTTTGGGTCTGAGGCTTCCTAACAGACGCAAACCTCCAGGCTTCAGGGCCTTTTTGGAACCTAGCTTTAAAGGTGCATGACGCAATCGAGTGATCGCCCGCGCCCGGAAGCTCAATCCCTTCATCAGCTTGAAGGCGTTCACTAGCCCAAATGGCATCAATGGGATGTGCACTCCGGATGTGTCTGGCCAGAGCCACAATATGACCCCCCACACCAGACAAGACATCATTAGCCGGGCCTTCCAAGAGCCACGAGAACCGCAACCACAACCACCACAACCAGTAACCACAACCACGACCACAACTACAACCACCCCTACCATGCCCAACACCACCTCGAAGACCACGACCACGACAAGACAACCACGACGACGACGACGACGACGATGACTATCACTATTGCTACCACTACCTACCAGTACCACCACCACTGCCACTACTCCTGCTCCTGCTTCTGCTGCTGCTGCTGCTGCGGCGACTGCAACTGCGACTGCGACTGTGACTGCGACTGCGGCGGCTACTACGTCAGCGACCACGACGACGGCGACGACCGCGATGACGAGAACCACGACCACCACTACTACAGATACAACTCCGACCACATACCAACTATTGCAACTGCTTCTGTTGCATTTTGCTTAGGGGCTGCATTAGCGTCAACACCATCATCACCACCATCGCGACCCGGCAGTTGACTGAGTTGACACCTTTGCCCGGTCCTGCAAATGTAATCTCATAGAGCGTGTAGAGCGCACGGTACGCAGTGCCATATCGCAGCCAGATCCACTGCCTGACCGTCGCACAGCCCGGCCCACAAGCTGCAACTTTCACAAAACGAACCTCAACCTGAAGGCTATCAATGTCTGCCTGCGGGTTTCCTCACCATGAAGCTAGTAGGTCTTCCTATGAGTTGGTGAGGCGCGCTCCAGCACTCCAGCGCAAGGTTTCAGCACGCCATGTCGCCTTAGGGACCTGCCACCCAAGCAACGAAGGGAAGGCAGGACAAGCCAGCGAGTGCTCCAAATAGGGAAGGTTCCGGCCCACTAAGGCATCCCCACTTCTACTGAGGAGACATCACGACATGATATGCAAACACGGCAGAAGCCTGTCTTCGAGACTCGCCGCATCATCCATCACAAACTCCTCAGGGAGACGAAGACGCTGCAAGAAGTCTAAAAGCTATACTAGACTACATTATACTACACGATGCGGTACTCTACTATAGCAGCCCAGAAACCCGAACCTTAGACGGCCACTCCCAAGCAGAAAAAAAGCTCCTCACATAGACTGGCAAGCTCCACAAAAAGGCAGGAGGCCCTCAAACGGGGTTTCCGGGTTCGCTGGTAACGGTCTAGAGTACCGTATGTTGTAGTATAGTATAGCATACTCTAGTCTAATCTAGCATTGTATAGTCTAGTATAGTATCTTATCGTATCGTATGGTAAAGTATATTCGAACATCTTAGAGTATTCGCTAAACCCCTGAGCCCTAAGCCCTAAACCCTAAGCCCTAAACCCTAAACCCTAAACCCTAAACCCTAAACCCTAAACCCTAAACCCTAAACCCTAAACCCTAAACCCTAAACCCTAAGCTAAGGTCCATCAAGAGGTTGCCCAAGGCCAGTCCGCCCATGGACATGAAAATCCCCAGCAGCACCATAGACCAGCCTGGCCAGGCAGGTCTATCAGCGAGCTCGGAGCTTTTTGGTTTAGGGTTTAGG